CATGTCCCTGCCCTGGCTCAGTGTCACCCTGAGGTAACTCCATAGTGACTTGCAGCACCCACAGCACTTCATAAGGGACATCTCCCTGCATGATGGTGGACCATCTGCCAGGGCTCTGCGAGCACCAGCAGGTCTTAGTGGCCCGGGTCAACCTCACCCTCTGCTCACAGCTCTGTGGGCTCCATTTAATCTCCACCTCAAGTACCTAGGCTTGGTCTTAGGCTGTACCTTTACCCCTGTCTATCTCTGTCCCTCTCTAAACTCCCTGCACATAGGTGGACCTTAGATCTACTTTGCAGGTAGCTTTGTCCCCAGTTCTGTCTCCCAGACAGACCTTGGACCTATGCTGCAGCCTTGTCTCTTGTTCAGCCTCCATCTCCTGGTTGCTCCTGGCCTCCCCCAGGTTGAACCAACCTCCCTAGCTTGCCCTGCCTGGGGCTGTCACCAGAAGCTGCCCATGACACCACCCCTTCCCTTGAGTGCTTCATCAGAGCAGGCACCCATGGCTCATCCAGCCCCCCAGGGCAGCCCGACTCTCATTGCTCCTTGGCAGTGAGTTGAGATGAAAGGGGCTGCCATCACTCTGCTGAGCTCTGAGTCCTCAATTACACACTGGACCCGTTTTGATACTAGACATGAGGTATTTTTTTCTTTTTCAGCTTGGGCACCTCCACGGCTTCTGAACTGGACAAGAGGGTTTCCTTTCTGTCATCTCTTGCTGTCCTTGAACTCAGGCAATCACAGTCAGACTTACCTCTAAGGATACTCTGGCACTGGATGGCCAAATGTCGGTGCCCTGCTGAAAGCCAGTAACAGACTTTTGACTCTCATAGCTGTCATACAAGGGGCTGTGGGAAGTCTTCACACTGGAGATTATGAATATCATCAAAGACAAGGCAGCTCTACCAGTTTTTGCTGGGTCAAGATTTGCCCCTATACTGCCCTGACTAGGTTTAGGCACTTTTCACATAGAGCACAACAGCCAGTGCAACTCCCCTCACCCATCACTTATTCCCAGCCCCGTGTTTGCAGGAGAGGCAGATACAGACGAACTGGTCTCTACAGACAAACAGATGTGCATTTCTGCCTTTTGCTCTGATAAAGCTGCACAGCTGAGTTCCACAGTTGGTGAAATTTGGACCCAGGGGTGTCCACAGAAGCTTCCCCATGGCTGCAGAGCAGGCAGCTGATCTCCAGGTGAACTGGCTTGTCCGAGTGGGCCAGTTTTGCATCAGGGAGATTGTTGTCTTCTGCCTGGGCTGCTGTCTCTTTCAGTATCGGTTGTTCATGTTCCCGCTGCACCCCTGCTTTGAGTGCTTGACCAACGTCTCGAAACTTCCCTGCCTTCGGGTGAGCCCACATGAACAGGCATCCTGCATTGTTCACCCACAGGATTGTGTGCTTCAGATAACTTCCCTGCTGACCCACTTCAGTGCCTCGTGCCTTTTCTGCTCCAGATGGGAGGTTGGACTGGAGACCTGCAGAGGTCCCTTCCCACCAGCACCCCCACGAGTCTGTGTACAGTGGGGTGATGAGAGGCAGGTGAGCAGGGAGCAAAGAGGTACAGCTCTATGGGTTTGCCTCTTGTTCAGTGCAGCTCCAGGAAACTCATTTTGCAGCCTGGTGGGTCATTCACAGCCCCCTCCCTGCTGCATGAGACATTCCTGGAGGGTTCCTGGTTTTTAGGTTTGAAACATGTGCAGTGCCCCAAGCCTGACTCTGCCTTGCAGGACATGCCTTACAAAGTCTGATTGCTTAAAGCTGCTCTAGGTGTTGCTCCATCTCCAACAAAACTCCACCCCCAGTGCATAGAAAGATGTAAATCACGTGGGTTTTCCCAGAGGAAACCTGGGAGTAGATGTAGGTGAGCAATGTAGAGCTGCTTTGGAAAAGCACTGGAGTTTGTAGGAGCTGAGGAAGAGAAGTCCAGGAGGAGAGAGAGCATTGGGGGCAAAAAGGGACTGGAGGGCTATGACTGAACAAGAGACCATGTGTGTGCTTCCCAAATCTGGGGGTGTTCCATGGGCTCTGGAAACTGCCTTCTCACAGCCTTGTCTGCCACTGAGAAACCAGAGGGCTGGGCAGCCTGCGGTGCTGAGGCTAGGACACCTTCCTCCTGCAGCTTCCCTTCTCCATTTGATGGAGACACCGGAGTGCAATTTCCAGGGCTGAGCTGGATCTTTACCTGCCTTATTAAAAAGCATGGCTAAATTACTGGGCCTCTATGTATGGTCCAAGAAGGTAATAAACAAATGTATTAACACAATTCCCATCAAACTGACATCAGCTCTGCTGACCTGGGACATTTTTGATACCATTAGCTGCTTCTGCTTTGCCCCTTGGCAAGAAGTGATCAAGTTTCATTCCAAGAATTTATCTCTGGAATTTGCAAACATCTTAAAAAAAAACAACCCACATATGACATGTCTGGGTCTGGCTCTCTATCCTTAACAGCTCTCTCTGCAATGTGCTGGCACATCAGTCAAGTCTTTCCAGTGAGAGGGTAGGAAAAATTCAGCAGTGGAGGCTGTAGGGCTGGAAGGATGCTGAAGGGGTGACCAGAGCAAGGGACGGGCTGACTCTTGATGACCATCGCTTCCTGCTCCTCTGTACCCACATAGGAATAAGAGAGCTGTTCCCACAGCACCAGGAGGTCAAGCTCTGACTGATCAGTCTTTGAAACCAACACCCTAAATGTTTGGTGGTGGTTACTTGTCCTAGGGACAATGTCAAAGGGGTCTTCCATGATGGAGCAATAAAATAGCAGGTCCTGTTCAGTGTAAGTTAACTAAAAGTGATGCAGGTGAGAATATGCACTCTCACATGGACACATAACACATGGGGTCTGAGCTGAGCCTTTACTGCTCAGGGGCAGCATCTTGTCTCTGAATATATCAGCTCAGCAAGGATCAAAAAAGGAAAGCGGTGAGGAAAGGTGTAGAGAAGAAAATAAAGGACATCATCTGGCACCAGTATGAACCCCCAGTTTTCTCATGACCCTTCTCATCTCAGAAGGGACATGGTGGAAGAGAAGGGCAAGCAAGGACATGAGTGGAGGAAGCCAGGCTTTAAAATCAGATCAGAGAAGGTGGGCTTTTGTGCAGTGATGGGTGGGCTGTGCAACTTGTTGCCAAAGAGTGCTAAATGTTTATGCAGATTCAAGGGGAGACTGGAAGAACATTACTAGGTAGAAACCATGTCTGGGCTGAAAATAGTTGGAGGCCAGGAAACTCCTCAGGGGAAATATCAAATTTGCTTGTCCTATTCTTAATCTTCCTGTGGCCACTGCTGAATACAGAGGACAGACTCACCTCCCACCACATCACCACTCTGTGCCGTGGCACATAGCTGCCCACACTGCCAACGTAGTCACGAAAGAACATGGTTCTCCACCATGCTTTCCTCCCACTGGGACGTGAACAGGCTTGATTTATAAGACAAAAGGTTCATGGCAAAAACAAAACCATAGTTAGATGTGACGTCTCTGTGTCTGTTTTAACAGTCTGTTCTTTGTGTTCATGTTTGCTTGCTTCTGTCACCCCTGTTTTCACAACAGCACCTGAAAGTGGCTGTTGGGTAGCAGAGCAAAAGTTCCTGGAGGGACACCAGCAAGGACATCAGACTCTGGGAGGTGTGGAGGCTTATCTTGCAAAGTCATGGCAGGCAGAGGTACCTGCCGGGTTAGGGAAAAGGGAAGGTTTATTCCATGGAGCAGGACAATGAAGAATTTCACTGCATCTTGCTGCTCAGTTTTTAATTTCTCACTGGTGACTGTGTGACAAAATATCTTGATGTTGAAACAGAGCAGTAATTCAGGTGCCTCCAGTTCCACATTGTCTCTCTGGCTGCAGGACTACATCTCCTGGGCTACACCAGCCTGGCTGCTGGGGCTGGCAGGAGGGACAGTGCAGCCACCAAGCGTGATGCGTGGAGACCAGCAACACAAGCCTGTGGGTAAATGTTGTCCTGAAGACATCGCAGCAGGAGAGGAGCACGGAAACTGCTCTGAAGTTATCACCTTTTGCAGAAAAAAGAGGTGGCCCAAAGGCATGGTGGCTCCCAGGATTTAGTGGCCCCCTGCACATGGTGGCTCATGGGCACAGTGAGCTGTGAGCATGGTGACTTTTGGGGCACAGTGACCCTCTGGGCACAGTGACTTTGGGGCTGTATTGGGTTTGTGTGGCAAGGTTTTGGTAGCTTGGGAGGCTATAGGGGTGTCTTCTAGTAGCTTCTCACAGAAGACACCCCTGTATCTGATAGAGCCCATGCCAGCAGCTCCAAGACAGACCCACTGCTGGCCAAGGCCGATCCCATCGGTGACAGTGGTAGCACCTCTGGGATAATGTATTTAAGAAGGGGGAAAAAAAACCTGCCGTGAAAGAGGGGAGTGAGAATATGTGAAACAACTGCAGACACCAAGGTCAGTGAAGGAGGGGGAGGAAGACGTCCAGGTGCCGGAGCAGAGATTCCCCTGCAGCCCGTGGGGAGAGAACAGGCTGTGCTCCAGCATCCCATGGAGGTCACCAGTGGAGCAGATACACCCCTGCACCCCGTGGAGGTTAACAGCTGGGCAAATACCCCCCTGCAGCCCGTGGAGGACCCCCCGCCGGAGCAGGGGGATGCCCGAAGGGGGCTGTGACCCCGTGGGAAGCCCGTGCTGGAGCCAGGACCTGTGGCCCCGTGGAGAGAGGAGCCCGCGCAGGTTTGCTGACAGGACGTGTGACCCCCGTGGGGGGACCCAGGCCGGAGCAGCCTGTTGCCGACGGGCTGCGCCCCTGGAAGGGATCCACGCTGGAGCACTTCGTGATGAGCTGCAGCCCCGTGGGAAGGACTCACGTCGCAGAAGTTCGTGGAGAACTGCCTCCCGTAGGCGGGACCCCACGGGGGAGCCGGTCCGGGGACCCCACGGGGGAGCCGGTCCGAGGCCCCTGGAAGGGCGGGCGG